AATATGCTTCTTTCCCTCATTAAACTGTGAGAAGAGACAAAATTTCTATTTCAAAAGGAATGATGGTTAGGTCAAGACAGTGGCAGCAAGGAAAATAATGCTTTTTTTTAATGAAGTGATTTTTGAAAAGTGAAAGGTAGCTTTGCTTTAAATGAATGCTTAATTCTCCACTTAATGGTTTCCTTACATTGAAAACTATCCATTGATGTGGATAGTTTTTCTTCTTCATCTAACTTTTAGGGATCACATTTATTTAATCTTCATACTTGAAAAGGTAGAATATGGAAACAAGAGAAACTACTAATGTGCTTTGGGGTTAATATGGTATTTTTGATAATGAAAACCTCAAAGAAATCAGATTACAGGAAAAAGTTTATTAACTCTAACTTTAAAATGAAATGTTTTAATATTGATATTAACATTCCAGATTATTTTTGTGAAAATTATTTTCCATAATTTAAAATAGAAAACTTGTTGATAAAAATAAAAATCCTTTTTATGAAAATTCTTTTATGAAAATAACCTTGATTTTTATTAGCCTGTTTCCTATTTTAAAACATGCTGTGAAGGAATGATTAAATTAAATATGAAATATAGAACAATTTAACAGACTTAATAGTCTTACAGGTAAGATAGAAATGTTTCTGCTATTATCTTGGATAGTCAATAGTGAACTGAGTTCTTGTCTTCTTTAAACACCATATAGTTTTCATCTTATGTTGCTCTAAAGAAATTTAAATAAATATTTCACATGTTGGTTTAGAAAACTATTGCTCTGAGAGAAACATTTTTCAGGAATATTAGTTATGCTTTTTAATATTGACCTTTTATCTACAACTAATAGTGTTTTTCTCTCTGGAGTGAACTGCCCTAAACTGGGGCTAAGAAGGTACATCTTGGTCCACAAACCATGATAACACTAAAGAACAGCAACATTTTGCTCAGCTTACAGAACGTATACTACAGTGACCTCTGTTAAGGGAGATTTTCAGTAGGTCATAGTTTATCATATATACTATATTTTTGGATCTAGATTAAGTTAATATATTTCTACTTTAGCAAATATATACTACTTACTATAAATTACTGTCTTAGGAATTAGCATGAATTTTTGCTGTTTTTCCCAATTAAACCTTTAGAAATAAGCTTAAAAGTACTCATAAATTTATGCTGAATGTAAGGTTTAGTAAGTCCCATTTATTTAAGGATAATTATTTCTCTATCACCTAGGCATAAAATTAATATAGTTCTCTTAATAACTACTTAAGCTTTTAATCTAATGTAGCCTTAATGAATTTTACCCATAAGAAGTACTTGGTAAAGCAATCATGAAAGACTCCCTGTGTGGTGTCCATCTGTATTTTTCCTGAAAATAGCTGAATTTTAATGTGAAAATATGCAAACAAATACCATAAATGTTTTATGTAGCTAAGGTTTATACAATTAAATTATATAATTTTATTTTGTTCAATTATGCTATGCACGTTTCCAAAAATCACATATCCTAAATTATGAATATTCCACAATCACTATAGCATAAAAAACACAAAAAATACTAAAGAATGCAATACTTGCTAAGATTATGATGCATAATTAAAAATCTAAAAGTAACCATGACTAAAATTTTTTCTCTGTGACATTTTCTTCTTTTCCTTTTTTTTTTCTTTTCTTTCACATCCATCTTGTTGTCCTTTTCCTACTTTTTTTTTTAAGCAAATAAAAATATTCTCAATTTAGCCTAATTAATTTTGGAAGTAGAGAAGAGGGATTGGTCATATACGAAAGTGATTAGCAGGTTATCTCATGTTAAAATCAATACAAGAAAAACTCTAATCTCCCTTTAGCCAACTCCCTGAGTTAACTCAGGTTTTGAACTTCCTTTTGTGGAATATACTCATTAGTTTTCAGAGTAGGTTAACTTCCTTAAGTAGTAGGCACCTTTTTTTGTTTAATAGCATTAACTATTCTATTTTACATTTTTTTCTGATTACTGATAGGGTTGATCATTTTCCCATGATTTTCATCATCATTCTATTTTATTTTAATTTAGTAAGAACATTTAATATGAAACCTACTCTTTTAACAAATTTTTAAGTTACAGTATAATATTATTGACAGAGTGCTGTATGATTATCTATAGCTTACTCCTCTTGCTTAACTGAAATTTTATACTTTTTGATTAGTCACTCCCCATCTCTCCATCCTCCTGGCCCCTGGCAACCACAATTCTTCTCATTGAATCTGTGAGTTTGACTATAGATTTCTCATATTGGTGTAATCATGTAGTATCTTTTTCTGTGACTGGCTTATTTTATTTAGCATAATGTTTTGAAGGTTTATCTATGGTATAGTATGTATCAATAATTTATTCCTTTTTAAGGCTGAATAGTATTTCATTGAATGGACACTTTCTCTGCCCATCCATTTGTGGACATTTATATTTTTTCCATCTTGGCTATTGGGAAAAGTGTTGCAGTGTCCCCTGACCATCTGACCAACTGTATATAGTTATCAAAGGTCAATTGTATTTGTTATGTAGCATGGTTATGTCATTTGCTCTTCTTATTTCATCACCATTTAGTTAAACATTGCATAATTTGCTGAAGCCTGAGTGTTAAAAGAGATTTTTTTCCCCCAACAAAAACCTAGTGGATACTTTGGAAGTGGATAAAAGCAAGTGGATTAAAATATATAAAGTATTTTTTAAAAGTATAAAATTTTAAAAGGCTTCTGCATTTAGGTTTTACTGATAGCTTTGACTTTTTCCTCCATTAAAAAATAAAACTAGACATCAAAGGCAGTATATGAGATTTATACAAACAAAAAATTTACTAAGAAATCACAAGCAGTGAGTACTTACTCGAATAAGAAGTCTTGGTTAGCCAACAAAACAGCAGCACTTTACCCATTTAAGCCGAATACTCTATTAAGAACGGATACACCATTTTCACAATTTTCTGTTCTAATTATTTTATTTGCTGAATGAGTTCAGTGAATTACCAATCCTAGCACTTAAGACAAGAAGTCTTCTACTGTACTTTGTAATTTATTCAAGAATATAGAACGTAAAGAGTTTTCTCTTCACTGGACTGAGCCTGACTGGATGCTGTGGGTGTTTCCACATCTGAGTATTATTAGGAAGACAAAACTACCCACTTGAGGTGACATGCCTGCTATCTGGATCTGCTGTATCTTCTGGAAATTCTCAAGTTTTTACTCTATAAAATGAAAAAAATAATTTACAATAACATGGATGGGAAACAGGTTTCATCTTGAAAGCCAGCTCTGATTAATTGCTAGTGACTGCTTGAGGATATGTGCTGGGATGAAATGCAGCTCCTTCCTCCTTCAGGGAAAATGCCCTGGTCCGATAGTGATGCCCCACCCCCTCCCTGGAGGTACAGGATGGAGTAGAACAATAAACTATGACAGCACTGTTCTCCTGAGCTATATCCACATTTCTCTTAGTGTTTTGAGTTCTGTAAATGAATGACTCTCTACCTTTCTCTTTTCTTCTTTTCCTTCTTTTGGGACACCTTTATGGGTGATATTCCTCAGCCTTGTTTAGTTTCCACATAGATGAGAAAGACTGAGCTATGCACAATTCACTGCTTTGGTTCACACAGGAAACATGTCTGTGTTACTTCTTCACAAGTGAGAACTAATTCATGCAAATGAAAACCATGGGATTCTCTTGCTGTCCACCTCTCCAAAAACTGAATAAATACAGTTAGCTTTCACTAAAGAGAATCAGTCCCTAAAATGTATCCCTCAGATACGATCCTCACAATTATGAGTGCTACAGAATATGAAGGCAAGTGAACTATTCAGTGATCATTGTTTAGTGAATCTGATTGCTAAAATGACTCCGCTATTTCCTTCACAAATTCTTCACATGGTTTTGAATATATTTTAAGAGGCTGGGCTTCCTAGATGAAAAATGTAATAATTTTCTAACATGCAATATTCACAAGGTTTATGGTATTAAGAAGTTGAATAAGAAATATTACTTTGCCATAGTTTTTAACAAACATAGGAAATGAGATTCTGACTTTATAATGTAAACGTGGCTGAAATTCTTTCTTGGAAGATAAAATCAATAAACGTATTCTCAGAAGTAAAATATAATCATTGAATCCTATCTTCTAAGTGTTCCCCAAATTCTAAATGTCCCTTGTCACGTGTGTGTGTAAAAGGTGTACTGTACTATATAGATGCTAGGTATTAGAGGTTGATGATGGGAATGGATAGGTCCACACATGTTAGGGATAATTCTGTTTCAGTTCAGTGCCTAGAATGTAGTAAGCATCAGAAGTCAAAAGAAATGAAAACTTATTCATGTAGCTATTTTTATAGAATGCCTGCAACGTGCTAGCAACTATAGTAGTGGTGTCCTTGGAAAGTTTACAAACATTCAAGGGATACAGATTCATAAGTAAATAGTTAAGGAGAATATGTCCAGCCATATTAGGGTTATGTCCAGGCTACTACTGTAATATATCACAAATCCTTGTCATTTCAAATTACAGATGTTTTACCCCAACATAAACAAAGTTAGCTCTATTGTACAGTAAGAAAAATTGAAATCGTTAAGTGCTTATGTTAAGTGTTGACTTATAGTCTTGGCATCAGATTTATAACAGTAAAATCCCATTTTTTAGAACATTTGGTATGTGATTTCAGCCCCTTGCATGGCATAAATCATGTTACAGATACTTGAAACCCGAGAGATTCTCTTTTCTATTTTTAACTACTTAATGACATCATTTATTGTCTACTGGGAATCAATTTAGGAAATCATATTCGTCCACTAAGCACTTCAGATAAGGTGATATGAAGCATTCCAAGATTATCACAAGGAATTGCTTTCGTATGCCATAAAAGAGAAAGAAATGAACAGAATATGGCCTGCAGAGGAGTTTACAGTTTTACAGCTCCTCCCACGTAAGTCACTGTTAACAGTAACAGTTAACTTTGGATTATCACTCACAGATTGAAAGCCCAGCAGCCATCACACACGCTGGCCTGTGGTGGCACTTGTATGTGTTTCTAAGTCAATGATGAGGGTATCAGAACCGATACTGGACATGGAGATGGCAAATTACAGTGAAGTATTGGACCCAACTTACACAACTTTGGAGTTTGAAACTATGCAGATTCTGTATAATTCAAATGGTGAGTTCTCATCTACTTGTAGACATAAAGGAAAGCAGGTATAATGGGAGGGGTAAAAACTGAGCTTCCCAGGTGGTAGCTCTGTATCTCCTTGCTGAAGAATTCACGACTTGGATTTTAAGACTATGTATCTGAGTTTTTGTATTTCCTCACAAAATTTAAGTTAATATTGTTATGGCTCATTTATGTTGAGTCTTTTTAAAAGTCTAGTTTCGCGTAACAAAGTGACATCAGAATTCTGTCATAGGCCAGTTAAGGTAAAAAGAACAGTTTCAGAAGTTACTTTATTTACTGTAAATCACAGTAGTAAGTAACATTGGCAGACTGGCTGTGAAGTACATTTTCCATGCGGTACTTAAAATGACATACAGAACGCTGGAGGCCTTTACTGGTTGCCTCCTCCTGTCGTTTCAGTTCTCAATGGCTGTTGATGAGAAACTTCATTTAAAATTACTATAAGTTTTTGCACTGAACCCAGTATGAAAGGAAATAAAGGCGTATATTATAACCTTACTACTTGACAAGCTAATGTTTAGCCTCACAAATCTCTTGGTATTTATCCACTGTAACTTTTTAACTTCAAATAAGGCATGGATTGTTTAGAGTTCATGTCTTTATATAATATAGTTTATTGTTGACTTTGTATTTAGGTTTTTCCCAAGTAAAAGTCTTGTCCAAGATTACTTATAATTGTCAGATCACCTCAAATCTAGTAATTATGTATACTTTGAAAAACGTGTGTGTGTGTGTGTGTGTGTGTGTGTGTGTGTGTGTGTGTGTAGTATAGTTCGGGATTGAGAATATATCTTCTACTCAGGATAGGGCAACATTCTGCTATGCTCCTCAGTTTTACAACTGCTGATCTCATTATATTTATAATAAGCAACAGTTTATTAGTGGGAAGATTTTTTTAATCCTTAGAAGATAAATTCTGAAATTTTAGCACAAAGAGAATTAAAAGAAACCCTTAGTGCAAATCTTAGGAAATCACTATTTTTATTCCTTAGGTTTAGATTTGATTAAAGATATTTAATAGTATATTTGGCTCCAGAGAGTCATGATTTTTTAAAAGACTGTATATTACTAAATAAGGACAGATTTAGCATAAATATGTAACACAGCTAACTTCTGTGTTGTCTAACTTGTTTTGTAATAATGTTGTTAACAATATGTAAGTATGATATTAAACTGGAAGCAAGAGCTGAATTTTTTTCCTGTTTCCATAAATCTGGAACAATCAATCCTAACACTTCTGTCGTATTTCTAAACCAATTTTGTTTATGTTACCAAAAAGAAAAATTCTTCACGTTAAACTCTATAACATCACATGATTAACCCTTAAACATATTCTCATTAAGGTTTTTCTTGACGAAATTATATATGGTAATGTCTGTCTACTCAGAAGTATTAGTAAGCAGAATATATGTGTTTTCACAGAATTTAATTGACACATGACAGACTTTAATTTTATCTTTTGTTATATTCAAGATACGATGAGTTGTTCTGTTAGAATTTAGACAGATCCAAGTTCTCTAACATCATGAGGTTTATATACTGTATGTAAAGAGGGGGTGGTAAATGAACAGACTAGTACATTATTTTTAAAAATGAAGTAGTTATTTAAAAAATAATCAGGGTTCTAGATTCTACTTGGAGGGCAGATGAGGGATGACTCTTAGATGTGTGTTCAGAGAATATTTCATAGACAGTGAGAGACTGGAGCAGAAATCAGATCACCAGTTCAAAGACATCCTTGAGGAAGAACTTACCTTCGAGGCAAGAGCAGCAAATGTAAAGATTCAGAGATGGAAACTGCCAACTCTAAGGAAGTTAAAAAGGCGACATTGTTGAACAGTGAACAGGATGGAAAGTTGTACCAAGTAATGGAGTCAGAGAGGTGGGAGGGGGCTTTAACACACAAGGCTTTACAGCAAGTCTGAGATGCGTAGGCTTTATTCTGTTTCTGAGGGTTAGGGACAGAAGACTAATATGATGTGAATTTCTTGTTCCAAGAGCACTTTGGGGTAATAAACAGTAGGGGAGCAAGGGTGGAAACAGAAAAATTAGATAAGAGGCTATTGCAGTAATGTAGGGGAAAGATTATAGTTGATTGGGTAAGGGTGACCATGGTAAAAGGGTGAAAAGTTGTGAATTCAATATGTATTTCAAATATGGACTTAGTATTAGATTGGATATGAACAATGATGGGGAGAATCCAATGAAGACCACCGGGTTATTGGCCCAAGGTACTGTATGGAACCATTGACTGACTGACATAGGGAAGACTGAAGGAAGAACAAATTTGAGGGGAAAAAGAGAAGAGTTGTGTTTTGATACATTAATTTGCAATTCCTATTAAACTTTTTTTTTTTTTAAAGATTATTTATTTATTTATTTATTTATTTGACAGACAGAGATCACAAGTAGGCAGAGGCAGGCAGAGAGCGAGGGAGAAGCAGGCTCCCTGCTGAGCAGAGAGACCAATATGGGGCTCGATCCCAGGACCCTGGGACCATGACCTGAGCCGAAGGCAGAGGCTTAACCCTCTGAGCCACCCAGGTGCCCCTCCTATTAAACTTTAAAGTGAAGTAGTTAAAAAGGTATTTGGGCATTTCAAACTGATACCCATGGAAGACATCAGGGCTAGAGAGAAAATCTGGGGATTTTTCTCTCATACACATGATATTTGACATCATGGGACCAAATGGGTTTTCCCTAGGAAAGAGTATATTTGTGGGGACTTAGACCTATAGCGTCCCAAAGTTTAATCTTCAGAAATATGTGAGGGACGACTGGAATGGAGACTGGCAGAAGTGGCCAGTGGTTAAAAGGAGAGCACTAGTGTGCTCCAAGAGGTCAAGGAAATGGACTGTTTTGAGCCTGTGAATAATTAGTAGGGTAATATAAATAAGAAATACTTGGTATTAACTTGAAGGCTACTCTGCTTTTTCTTTAACAGATAGCTCTGCTCCAGAGACAACAAGTATGAATACCACAGACAATGGTGTTAACTGCCTATGTGCCATATGTGGGGACCGAGCGACGGGAAAGCATTACGGAGCATCAAGCTGTGATGGGTGTAAGGGCTTCTTCAGACGCAGCATACGCAAGAGTCATGTTTATTCCTGCAGGTACTTGAGATGCTCCTTTTGAGAAAGTTATCTTTAGAGGCATTTCAAAATGGCGGGCAAGAAGTAAGGGATAAAATCAGGGCTTTTGGAGCACCCGTGTGGCTTAGTGGGTGAGCATCTGACTCTTAATTTCAGCTCAGGTCGTGATCCCGGGGTCTTGAGATCACGTCCAGAGTCCAGCTCCCCACCCAGCCTGAAGTCTGCTTGTTCCTCTCCCTCTCCCCCTTCCCTCACTCGCTCTCTCTCTCTCTAATAAATAAATAAATAAATAAATAAATAAATAAATAAAATCTTTTAAGAAATCAGAATTTTCATACAAACAAAGTCTGTATGGGAAAAAAATCTGTAAGCTGTGTTTAAAGTATGGGTATGTGGGGGGGGCCTGGGTGGCTCAGTGGGTTAAAGCCTCTGCCTTCGGCTCAAGTCATGATCCCAGGGTCTTGGGGTCGAGCCCCACATCGGGCTCTCTGGTCAGCAGGGAGCCTGCTTCCTCCTCTCTCTGACTGTCTCTCTGCCTAGTTGTAATCTCTGTCTGTCAAATAAATAAATAAAGAAAAAAAAATGTATGGGTATATGGGTGTGTATGCAGGATGCATTCCTACAGGTGGTTCTTTTTTATGAAACGTTTTAGACTTATAAAACATATAAAAAAACCCCACATACTTATCATCCAACCTAGACCAATATAGTCGAAGCCTTTAGTGAACACACCTCCTCTATCGGTTTCTCTTTCTGTCCTCCCTCCCAGAAGTAGCTACTGTCTGAAATGTGGTGTTTGTCTTCTCTTTTGTTCCTTTATTGTTTTACCACATGTTCATATACCAGTGGACATATTTAAATCTGTATTTAAATGGTTTCACGATCTGTGTGTTTTTCTGCATCTTGATTTTCTTTTTAACATCTCTACCTCCCGAGTCTTTCAAACACAATTATAAAAGTGTGGATGATTTTGGTAGCTTGTCAAAGTCAGTAAATGAGCTTAAATTTTCAGTCTTAAAATTTTAAGTGTATTTCTCATGCCACAATTTTGCCATTGAATTCAATGTTTTGTCCAAAATATATTTAACTCTATTGTATATGTCACATATTTCTAGTAAGCTTAAAAAAATATCTAGTGAACATTGTAGTACAAGTTAGGATTAGATACTCCACCTTGAATCTTCAGAATGACAGTTCTGGAATGTAGATTACATCTGTATGAAATAAGGACTATTAAAAAAAATGACTGATGCTAACAGAAAAATATCAATGTTTGCTCTACTGATGAGTAGCATGCATAGAATTGCTGTGTTATTTTATGAACAAGCTGGACATTTGGGAAAAAGTTAATCTCCCTCACAATATGATGCCATTTGATTTCTAGGGTCTGGAAAAAGCTAATGTATAACTCTCCAAATACCTAACTAATGTTCTCTAGTAATTTTTCTAGGAGGGCTTAAAGTTGGTTAAAAAAAAAAAAAAAGTAAATCATCCACTTTAAAATCTTCTTGATAAACAAAAAATATATTTACATGAGTCTTGCTTTTATGTACATTAAAGCTCTAGATATAAAAAAATAAACCAAGTAGATTTCCCTCATTAAAAGCATTTTCTCTATGATTACATTAAATATTCAGTGCTTCTACAAAATTTACAAAATTAACAGTGAAAATAAGCACAAAATAACATGTAAACAATATATTTTGAATCATATGTTCTGTTAAAGATGAAATACATATATATGAAAAATAGTGTGATCCAAACAACTAAATCCAACAAAGACTTTTAAGAATCAGAAAATATTGGTACCATTGGCTTTCAAGATTTCTTCCCTTACTGTATGAGAAAAGTGAGAAAGGAGTGTTCCCGTACAACTTTTGGAATTAAAAAATATTCCCACCACATGTACAGTTTGACGACTCACACCTTCTCATCATGAGTATTGCTGCCAACTTAGCCTTCTTTACATATTTTGGTATTAAAAAAGTGCTGTGATTTTCCATTTGGAAAATACTTATTATAATAATGAAGGTGTAGGAATGTAAAGGTTTTTTTAAGCTCAGATTTTGCTGGTCTCAAATTTATCCATTTCCTCAGATGTACAAATTTTATTTCTATTTTAGCTCTTCTGTCCCACTGAAGTTGGGCTTTCCCTCTAAACCACTTTAAATTGTTATTTCAATATTTCTCACATCATCTTTTTTTATTATGGCTGTTTATAAACTTGTATGTGTACTCTGTTAGATTATAGTTTCCTCGAATGGAGAAGACAGGTCATATTCCTTTGTTTAATCCCTACACCAGGATCTTGTACACAGATGGTGCTCAATATGTTTATTCAGTTTTTGCATTGTTAGTTGGGTGTATTTTCCTCTTTTATTTATTGGTAATCAGATTCCTTCTCCTGAAGCCATGAATTCCCAAGTGAACAATTCTTTTTCCTCATCCTAAAAATACCTCTCTTCCAGCTCAGTTCTTTTATAGTAGATTTTATATTCAGTCAGTTCAAAGAGGCTTCCCATCATTTTTAGAAGAACAATCTTCTTTTGTAGATCACCAGTAGGTTATTTTATTCCCATCATTAATAATCAGTAATATACCAGTTATTACAAATTGATATTTGTAATACTGATACAGTGTACATTGTATCAATCATTGTATCATCAATGTACTATGATACAATATCAATGATATTGATATTATTACAAATAATCAGTAACATACCAATAAATATGGATGTGGATAATTTTATGATGCAATTTGGAAGAAATATTATTATTTTACTATATAATTGATATTTGCTCCAAAGTCTATGATTTATATTTACCCTATATGCACACAACTTTTTGCTGAAAGTCCTTCCAATTTGACAGCTGTAAATTAATTTGGGAATGTTAAATAACATCCTCACGTGTTCCATCAGGAGTGAATGGTGGACTGGAAATCAAGCTCACATTTAATTCCAGAGACCATACATTTTAATATTTTTAAGTGTTTAATCCAGTTTTTGAGTATGTTCACAGAGTTGTGCAACCATCACTACAACCCACTTAAAACATTTTCATCACCCTGTAAAGAGACCTCCTGCCCTTAAGCTGTTGCTCCCTGTTTCCCTTATCTCCCTCCCCTCCAATGACAGGCAATGATTAATGCACTTTCTGTTTCTATAGATTGTTTCTTCAGGACGTTTGAAATAAATTAAATTACAAACACACCTCACTTTACTGCACTTCACAGACATTGCTTTTTTTTTTTTTTTTTTTTTTGACAAATTGAAGATTTGTGGCAACCCTGTGTTGAGCAAGTGTTTTGGTGCCATTTTCCAATCAGTATTTGCTCACTTTGTGTCTGTGAGTCACAGTTGGGTAATTTTTGCAATATTTCAAACTTTTTCGTTATTATTATTATATTTGTTATGATGATCTGTGATCAGTGGTTACAACTTGTGGAACATTCATTCAGATAATGGTTGGCAGTTTTTAGCAATAAAATATTTTTAATTAAGGTATTACACTGGTATTTTAGACTATGCTGTTGCACACTTTGTAGATTATGGTATAGTGTAAACATAACTTTAATATACACTGGGAAACCAAGAAATTTCATTTGACTCACCTAATTATGATACTAGCTTTATTGTGGTGGCCTGAAACCAAAACAGCAGTATCTCTCAGGTATGCCTGACTTCTTTCATTTCGAATGTGTTTTCAGGGGTCACCCATGTTGTAGCATGTATCAGTACTCCATTCCCATTCATTGACAGACAATAATATCCATTGCGTAGGTGCACCATATTTTATCTATCTGTTCATCAGCTGATGGGTTTTTGGGTTGTCCCTTTATTTTGGCTGTTAGGAATAATGGCGATTTGGACATTTGTGTGCATATTTCTGTGCGAACATATGTTTTCATTTCTTTTGTGTATATACCTAGGAGTGGAATTGCTGGGTCATATGCTAACTCTAACATCTAACTTTTCTTTAAAAACTGCCAAACTTTTGGCCAAGCAGCTGCATCATTTTATATTACAAAAGCTGTGTATGAGGGTTCCAGTTTTTCCATGTCCTCATTGACACTTGTTATTGTCTGTTTTCTTTTTTTTTTCCGATTATAGTCATTTTAGTGGCTGTGAGATAGTACCTAATTATGCAGAGACCATACTTTAAGTGTTGTTTTCACCCACCTCTGGATATGTAATTTGGCAGTTAGAGTAAATTTCAGTTGCATTTGAGGCACATTTAAAATTAATAGAAGGATATTTAAAAGAGAAAAGCATGAAAGTGCAGAGGAATGAAGTTCTGATATATTCTCCATTATACTGAAATCATTTAACAATAAGCAAATAGAATTCACATGCCAAGGATTTTTAAACTAGGTTTGGCTTTCCCAACTCAGGATAGAAGTGATAATGTATAGTGTGTATACTGGTGGAAAGTCAAATATCATTCAGTTTTATTTTATTATAAAGACTGTATGAGAAGTGAGGCTTGATTTCCACATACATGCTGACCATAGACTGGAAAAGTTGCAGGTAACTGTTCTTACACATTCTTCCTGTTGGGCCAAATTTGACCATATTATACGCAAGGCCTGTTTATCTGTTTATCTGTGTGTGTTTGTTTTTGTTTCAGAAACAGTTTTCTGCAAACTAATATATCTTTGATATTATAGGTTCAGTCGGCAATGTGTTGTTGACAAGGACAAAAGGAATCAATGCAGATATTGTCGATTAAGAAAGTGTTTCAGAGCAGGAATGAAAAAAGAAGGTAATAATATATAGTATAATAATGATAATTTTTGGTGGAAATTGTTATACACATACATCCTCATGCATTCACATAACTTTTTCAAATGAATTCTGATTTTCTTCAAGTTTAAGAATTTACCCAAGGACACTCACATAACTTTTTCAAATGAATTCTGATTTTCTTCAAGTTTAAGAATTTACCCAAGGACTATGACACCCAGTCTTTGATGATTGTCTGATTCCAGACACTAGTACCTCTGCTACTGTGTTATACCTGGAAAGAAAAGTATTATCTAAATAATACCCCGATACCCTGTTCAAAAGAGAAATGGCAAAATCTATTAATAGGTTGAAATTATAAACATCATTTTTAAACACATATTTATGTCAATAATAATTGAATATCTTTATCTCATAAGCATTGATTGAATATTAACTTTTTATTCATTGATTTATTTATTTAGCAAATATTTATTGAGCACTTCTTTCTAAAAACTGTTGCAGATGCTAAGGCTTCAGTGGTGAACATAACAGAAAAAAGAGTCCTTCCTTTCAGGGAGCTTACATTCCATTGAGGAACAGAGACAGTGGACTACATACTCTGTTTCTTAATTTCATTTCAAACGTAGTAAATAATCTGATTATATTATCCTACATTCTAACTGTGGTTAATTTGGAAACAAATCTGTTGAACACATGTAGACATTTGGCAGGAGATAACCACTGAAGTATTTTATGCCTATCAGTTCACATGCTTATGCCTATTACATACCAAGAAATATTTTTCAGAACTATTTCACAAACCATAAAAAAAAAATCAAGTTAAATACTACAGAAATGTAAAGTATATCAAACTTACCTTGAACATAGCTAGTTTTTTCTTTGTCACAGTATTTTAAAGAGACCTAAATTCCATTGGTTTCATTTGGAGTACTAGTCTCCAAAAGAAGGCAAAATAAAGTTTACAAAATTAAAGGAGAAGCACTTTGTCATTATAAAATGACTTATTTCTAATGGCAATATTTAATAGTTTTTAGGATTTATTACATACTTTGTTGATCAATTTCATCTATTTCTATTTGAACCACAGCACTACTCCTACATAAGTATAAGGAAGTCACAATCCTCTATTTCCTTTAAAAATTCACAGGTTTTGAAAGAAAATTACTTTCAAAAATAGTTAAATTATGTCTCCTCCCATTCATAGAATAATGCATTAGTTTTTTCTAAATAGATTAGGAAGTAACTTTTGAAGATATATTTCTCTTGTTTGCAGTAATAACATAATACCAAGGTTAGTTGGATAGAATCCTATATAAACATGGTTTTATTGCAAAAATTATAGCAGTGGGGTGCCTGGCTGGCTCAGTGGGTTAAGCCTCTGCCTTCAGCTCAGATCAGGATCTCAGGGTCCTCGAATCAAGCCCTGCGTCGGGCTCTTTGCTCAGCGGGGAGCCTGCTTCTCCCTCCCTCTCTCTCTCTCTCTGCCTGCCTCTCTGCCTACTTGTGATCTCTTTCTGTCAAATAAACAAGCAAAATATTTTTTTAAAAATGATAGCACTAAGATTACAAATGTTCACAATATCTTTTGGTATGTTTCTGAGGATTGATCATGTAAATGAAATTCACTAAAGCATATTACATTTTAATTTTTTATCTCCACATATGCATTTCCATATGAGTCAGTTTAGGCTGAAAATCAATGACCATTTCTGTGGGGAAAAAAGAGTAAGCTACCAGTAAATATGATTTTAAGATAAAATATTAATGATTCATTCCCAGCTTCAACACTACTCACTCTTAAAAGCAAAGTCCAGTATTTTCTCTTCCAAATTAATGACTTCATGGCTAATAGTAAGTATGGGGTAGATAGTAGCTTTTGGCATAGAAATTGGTGCATCTCTTTAATAAAAGAATAATTTAATTAAAAATTCTAATAGTTTTATATCTTCTCTCTCCAGCAGAACAGGGTAGAGCATTGATCTAAGTAATTTAGGGGCTATAGGCCTTGTTTTCATTCTTTTTGGTTAACTGAAGATATATTTACCTCCTAAGTTTTAAAACCTAACGTTGAGAGGCACCTGGATGGCTCAGTCAGTTTAGCATTGGACTCTGAGTTTTGGTTCCATGTCAGAACCAAAACATGGTGTCTCCTTGAGATTCTTTTTCTCCCTCTGCCCTTCCCACTTCTACACTCACTCACTCTCTCTCTTAAAATAAATAAATAAATCTTTAAAAAATAAGTAAGTCTAACATTGATATTTGACTTATATTATTCTTTATATGACAAATATACAAGGTAATACTCCCTCTCTCACTCTTCCTTATATTTAAAATGTAGTTTTCAGGGATCCTGGGTGGCTTAGTCAGTTAAACGTCTGCTTTAAGCTCAGGTCATGATCCAGGGTCCTGGGATCAAGCCCCACATTGGGTTTCCCCTCAGCAAGGAGCCTCCTTCTTCCTCTCCCTCTGCCTCTGCTTGCTACACCCCCTACTTCTGCTCTCTCTCTGTCAACTAAATAAATAAAATGTTTAAAAAATAAATAAATTAGGGGCGCCTGGGTGGCTCAGTGGGTTAAGCCTCTGCCTTCGGCCCAGGTCATGATCTCAGGGTCCTGGGATCGAGCCCCGCATCGGGCTCTCTGCTTGGCAAGGGAGCCTGCTTCCCCCCTCTCTCTCTGCCTGCCTCTCTGCCTACTTGTGATCTCTCTCTGTCAAATAAATAAAATCTTAAAAAAAAAAGAAAACTTTAATTAAAAATAAATAAATAAATAAATTAATTAATTAAATAAACTCTAGTTTTCAATAAGGAATTCAGAAACACATATTACTTTCCCTTTCCTTTCTGAAACAAGTAGATCTAGCTCTCTCCTAGAAGCTTTTTATATGATACTTAAGATGCCTTCACCCTTCCAAAATGCTGATGTTCAAACCTTAGTCTCCTCAGAAGACACCCCTTCCCGCAACTTTTGCTTTATTATTGTTTGTTAACTGTCCCAAGCACATTGTTTCATAAGAGATCATGAGATTGCAAGCTTAAAATCACCGTTCCTAAATAAAATTCATTTTCCATTTCTCCTAGTGTTTGAGAAAAAAAAAATGGAAATTTCAAAATCTGTGATTCGTATCTTCTGGTGGTGGATATGCTCTTTACCTTCGTCAATCTCACAGGCGATACTCTTCCTCTACTTATCTGACAGTTTTATTAACGTTGAGAGAATGGAAAAACCATCCTATCACAGATACTGCATGGTTGAGCTGATTGACCCAGTGCTTTCCGACACGCCTACGATCACGAAGTTTCAAAGGGAATATTTTATGAGATCTAATGACAGGCTTGGCCTTCTTTTTAGAAGTGGTGCACAATAAAAAATAGCCTCAGTCATACCATGGTTTCCCCTCTGCCCCTTAAGCCCTTCTTTCTTTTTATACTATTATTTTTAAATTTAAAACTGTATTTCCTGACATGTAGTGAAAAGAACTGACCAATGAATACTGTGATTTTTCTCTCCTAGCTGTGCAAAACGAACGGGATAGAATCAGCACCAGAAGAAGCACCTTTGATGGCAGCAACATCCCCTCCATTAACACACTGACTCAAGCAGAAATTCGGTCTCGCCAGGTACCTGTGGCACTCCAGCATCCAGTCCTGTCCAACAGAATCAAATGTCTATTTAGGCATAATTCAAAAATAATCTAAGTTCATTTAAATGAGCTCACTTCTAAAATGAACTACAGTTTTACTTTGAAAATATTAGGTGAAATGTTGACTTAATTTTAACTCTTCCTGGACAACTTCCTATTTTTAAACAGAAAAATGCAATGTATTTCAGTCTAATGTTGTTAAATGAAAGTTTGTTTACAAGGTTGGTTTATAATACTGAATGCGTAGCACAATCCTCTGCGGGCAGGAGCTTACTTTACTGATTACGTCTGTAAAATCAGTTACTGTGACTTTTGGGAAGCTTGGTTGAGACTTATCCTCAGGGCTTCCTTCTTTTGAAAATGGTTTCTGAACTAAAGAATTCACCTTGGCATCCGTTTTGGAAACAAGTATTTAAGGGAAGAGCCAGAATCCAGAAACCAATGGAGAAGGAGTTTATTATTTTGAATTTCTAGAATGAGAATATCAGTTCCAAAGTTTAAAATTATTTGTCATTAGTTATATACATAAAAATAAATCATTTAAGAATCAAATGAAAAAGGGCGCCTGGGTGGCTCTGGTGGTTGAACATCTGACTCTTGATCTCAGTTCAGGTCATAATCTCAGGACTGTGAACTCAAGGCCCATGTTGGGCTCCATGCTGGGCGTGGAACCTACTTAAAAAAAAAAAAAAAAAAAGACCTAAAATCCTTGCAATTTCCTGAGTGATAAGAGAGCCTTTTGTTAGTCATAAAATCTCCAACAGACCTCTTCAGAGTTTATGCTAATGAGGTGACATAGGGTGGGTCCCAGAAGGACCAAATTGGGATTCAAGGATTGGAAATTTCAACCCCACCCACTGGCTATCTGTGAAGAAAGGGGGCTGAAGACTGGGTTATAAAAACTCTTGAACAACAAACAGGTTGGTGAACACATCAACATTTTGGAAAAGTGATTTCCCTGCAGAGGGCATGGAAGCTCTCCACCACTCCACACCCCTACCTACCTACCTTGTTCAATGCATCTTTTCCATTTGGTTTTTCCTGAATTGTACTTTTTATGATAAACTGGTCAGTGTAAAAAAAAAAAAAGGATCAAATAAGAAAACCTTTTGAAGACAGTTTATTTTAGCATTGCCCCATGAGAAAAGTTAATGATATTTTTCTATTATAAAATATTATGAAATAGCTAACTATTAATCAGGTTCTATAATGAGTCAGTGCAACTACTTTCATTTTTGATAGCATGAGGGTGGTATGATGAGCCTAACATCTCCATTATCATCAATCCTTGATTACTTAATGATCCTATAGAGCGTTTGCAGAATGGCTTAGGAGGCTGTGAAGAAATAGACATACACATAGATAGACACACGCATGCACACACACACACACACATATATGTTCAAAAATTAAGTTTATAAGAACTTTTAGAAAGCAATTTTAGCAGAAAAACATCTTAAAACCACTTATATTTTATATAGTTCAGAATTATATATAATTGAAAAATTTTTTCAATACAGGTTAAGCTTCTCAATGTTGCTGAGTCAAAAGTTGGTTTCTTAATTTTACTTTGGTGGGCTTCCGTGTCATGAAGCAACATTGCTAGTTCTGGCTTCTCTTCTAAATCGTTTTTCCTGTTTGGTAAACTGTATCCACTGGAAACATTTTTTTTTTTTTTTTCCGTAAAAATAAAATCACAGAGCATGTTTCATGTGACTATGGCATATCTTTTTGCGTGGTCATTTTGAATTAGGAAAATCCTGGAAGTTGAGTAACTTATTTTATGGTTTTGCCAGTAAAAAAGTTACTGCTCCCAGAACATAGTACTGTGCAGTGAATATTTACAATTTAGCTCGTACTGAGAGGTATGTTTGTCTCAATTTTAAAATGTTCTGTGTATCTCAAGATACTGTGGCAATGAGAGTGCCCAATTCAAAGCTGTGTACTTGTTGCAGTCATAGAAAAAAGAAAAATACTGCTCATTATTATTTTAAATGGTAAATTAATGTGATCTTCATGCTAGATCTCAGTCTCCAGCCCCGGCTCAAGCACTGACATAAACGTTAAGAAGATTGCAAGTATCGGTGATGTCTGTGAGTCCATGAAGCAACAGCTCCTCGTCTTGGTGGAATGGGCTAAATATATTCCTGCCTTCTGTGAGTTGCCACTGGATGACCAGGTATAGTTAAAAGATGTCATGATTGCTTTCGGAATTTTTTTCGAACTTGGCTATGTTTTTGTGTTTTTTAAATTATGTTTATAGAAGATTGACCATATTTAACAAAGATTCAGTTATGAGAAAAAGATTGGTTTTCTTGTCTGCTCACCTTGTTCTCTCAAAAGGCACAACTATTTAACTTCTATTTTAGGGGTCCTGCAGATTTATTTATTGGGTGAAGTTGAGGAAGACGGGGTTCTTCCCTCCTAGAGTTTAAAAAGCATTAGTGAGGAAGAAAAATAGATAGCAAGGAACTGCCATTGTGAGAAAAGTATTGACAGAATAAATATCTGGAGGCAAGTGATACGCTGTTGGGTCTTGGTGTTTATGGAAGGTGCCATATAAAATTCCACTGAAATACCAGACCACTCATAGACAGAAACCACATAGGTTGTGTTGGTGTCTTTGTAGGCACTTTATTCAATTAACATAAAATTTTGCCTTTCATGTTGTCAATTTTATTCTAGCGTTCACTATATAAAAAGAATATATCTGGCAAAAAATATCTCTAGAATCATACTCTGAAATGTACAGAGAGATAGAATTCAGGTACAATAATCTTTTTCTATTACATATATTTTCATATTTTGTAATATATACCTTAAGACATTTTAATTAATAGCTAAGAATTTTAATTTCGTAGTCTATGAAAACTAGATTATTCACTTCAGATTCATTTTGAATGCTTCCATCTAAGTAGTTAATAATATTTTGTAGATGCCAGTAGTTTGAAAATTTTTATTCTGCCACATTGAGTAAACCATCGTATGTATACCTAGCATATATTTTTATACCTTCTGACCAGTGCCCTTTACCACTAATACACAAAAACAAAGAAACAATCAAAGGGAAAGGTGCGTGATTGTTTAAAAAATCCAGGAAGGGCAAAATATTTACACAACCAGAATGAAAAGTGATCATAGGAAGTCAGCAGTTATATTTCTAAGACAGCATTTCACATAGCGAACCAAAAAAAAAAAAAAAAGAGTGCTATGAAATCTGAAATCATTCTTAAAATGTTCTGTAACTGCCTTCCTGGTGTGAGTCAGGGTTATTGACATATCATAAAGATAGCTTGGCTTGGAAGGTTATTTCAGAATGAATAATGCTAAATTGCTAAAACATATGTGTGTGTCTCACCTCAAGCCATATAAGTAGGGTTATGTTATTTATCATTTTAATATTTTTATTATCACTCCTCTTTAAAAGTTGCTGACTTGTGTATGAAGACAGTGATTTTAAAATTGGAAAATTAAAATCCAGTAACCTGCCAGAAAGAGTTTGTATTTACCAAAGGACACTTGAATACTAACAATATAACATTAATAGCCATGGATTGGCAAATGTCCATTGTGGTTAAGTCACTAATAGAAGTAGCTTTCAGTTGCATTATATATTACATTAGTTTATTTAGTCCTCTCAGGAGCTCTGGCATAAATGTTATTATCTCCACTTAACAGTGTTTAAAACTGACCCTAGATCAGTGAAATTCACTCAGAAAATTCATCAAACAAATATTTAGTAGGACTACATTTCAGTTTTGGGAACTGTGAGGATTTGGCAATAAAAATACAGATTGCATCACTATTCTCATAAAGTTTGCACTCTATTTGGGAGAGACAGACAATAAAAAATATACAGATTATGAGTAAGTCAATTCTAGGTGGGGATAAGTTCTATAAAACAGAATGGAATGAGTTGGAGAATAACTGGAGTGGAATGGGAAGACATACATTAAGTTGGAGATTAGACATTTTTCCTGAGACCTGAATGACAAGCATGCCAAGGTCTGAGGACAAAGCATTCCAGGGACAGGAACATCACGTTCAAAGGGTCTGAGGCAAGTAGGAATAATGTGCCTGGAGAAAAGTGAACAAGGGATGTGGAAAGATAAAACCAGAGAAGTGGGTGGGGGCAAAGCGAGGCCAAGGTTAAGGAGTTTGGGGTTTATCGTAAAGATAATAAGGAACCAGTGAAGAGTTTTCAGCAGAGGAGTGATATTAAGTGATTATTATCTTGAAAATATGTTCTGGGAAGCTCTGTCAAGGATTTAGGATGGAGGAACCAGAGAGGAAGACGGCATACCTATTAGCTCAGGCTAGGCAAGATGAAGAATGACAAGGGCTCCACGGGGGGGGGGGGGGGGGGGGGGGGGGTTGGGAGCAATGGCGAAGCAGTGCCTAGATTTGCTGTACAATTAGAATCAAGATGGACTCTTGTTTCTGACATGAACGAGTATTTTGGATGATGGGGCCATTTACTAAGACGATGAAGATGTTGGAGACACATTAATTTGATGTGTTATATTTGGAAGGCTTCCTGTTCTTCCTGGTGGTGATGTTAAGTAGGCCGTTGAGTATATGCATAGAGCTCTGTTGAGAGCTTAGTGCAGAGTTAGAGGTTCAATCTAGAAAGTGTCAGCAAGCAGATCACCCATCCTCTTCACAAGTCCTCCCTTGCTTTTGTTTATTCAGTTTATTATGTGTAACAGAGTGTGTTTTACATATACTTTCTTATGTAGTCCTCTGACTACACTTGGAGATTTTTATCACTGCCTCCATTTGATAGATGAAAACAAAAGAGTCCCAAGCTTACTAGTGAGCTTATCTAAGGTTGAACAGATAGTACATGGCCAAGCCAGGATTTGAACTCTGCTTTGTTTGATTCTCTTTCATCCTAAAACACTTTTCTTTCTGCTTTTTGTTGTTGGTGGTGGTGGTTTGTTTCCTTTCTGTTGACTTGGAAGTTTTAGATTTTTGAAAAGTAAAACTCTGTTGACATGGTAAAATAGAAAAATAGAAAGCTTAATGATGGCAAGTCTCTATGAATTTACAGTTTATTAAAACAACAACAACAAAAAAGATCCCAGGCTTAAAGAACGCTGAGTTAATCAGACACATATTATACCATCTTCTAATCATCATATTTTATAATTAACTGTTAAACTTGAAATTTTTCATTAAGGTGGCACTGTTGAGAGCTCATGCAGGAGAACATTTACTGCTTGGAGCTACGAAGAGATCCATGGTGTACAAAGATATTTTGCTTTTGGGTAAGTTTTTTTTTTTTTTTTTTAATTTAAGAAGAAATTATGCATGCTTCATCCTTACACAGGGTCTATTCTGTATATACCAAGCATTCATAGACACTGTCTAATGGTACTCTTACTTTACAAACTGGATTTAATTGATTGTGTCCTCACTCAAGGCCCTATCTTTCCTTGACTTGATTGCAAGGAAGTTTAGAGGGCATTGAGACATTCAGGGTGCATTGAGATTTAAAAATAAGAATTGGAGAACGTCGTTACATGGTACAAACTTCCAGTTGGAAGTTAAATAAATACTAGGGATACAGCATACAACGTGGTGACTATAAACACTTGCTGTATAATATGTGGGCAAATTGTGAAGAGAGTAAATTCTAAGCATTCTCATCACAAGGGGATTTTGTTTCCTTCTCTTTTTATTGTATCGATGAGAAAATGGACATGAGCTGAAACTATCATTGTAATTATTTCACAATATATGTAAATCCAGTCATTGTGCTGTACACCTTAAACTTATACAGTGATATATGTCAATAATTTCTCAATGACACTGAAGGAGAAAAATTTAAAAATAAAAGTGAGCTGTTGCTCAATAAACATAATATTGAATTATGTTTAAATCATTACAGGACAAAGAGTTAGTGATCTGTGTGACCACTTTATTGGAGTCTCAGTGTTGTTTCACACTCCTTCAGTGTCTACTTAATACTTGTAATTATATTGTTTTATATACGTGAAGGAACATGTTTATTTCCTAGGATATCGTGGCTAACAGTATGATGCAAAATCCCGAGTTAAAAAAAATAATTTGGTGACTGTGTCTGAGAATTCTGATAGTTAAGTAGCAGTGCTGGAAGAGGCAAAAGTAGGATGGCAGGTTGAACGAGAGATAAGACACGAAGGGAAAGCTCTTGTTTTCCTTAAGTAATTGTTCCAATCCCCCACACCTTAGTTACCTTTTAATTAGGTTTCCTATTGAGAGAGTTGAGGTCCCTGGAATAATTATTACCTCCACCTCTCCCTGGCTGTATGAAATGGTGACCAGATTGTTTATTCTATTTTTGTGATAGATGTTATGTCCCAAAATAGAAATAAATTGAATGTAATATAACGGATAGCTAATATTTGCTGAGGACATACTATGTAAGATGCATATCTCTTCGTGCTTTACATGTAAACACACACTATCTCGTGTAATCCTCATGATGACCCTGAGGGGTAGGTATTGTTATTCTGTAGGTGGAGAAATGCCTGCAGAGAAAGTTTACCTAAAGTTACAAACCTAGTGAGGGATAGAGCCAGGATTCTAAACTGCATAATGTGACTTAGAGACTATGCTCCTAGATTCTGTTAAATACTCTCTTGTATTTAGAAGACTGCTCTCATACTGTTCTCAATATAGATTTGAATACAATATACCTAAAAACCCAAATGTCTTTGCTACCTTGTTCTAAATTGTTTTACCGTGAATAATTAGGTAAACTGACTTTTCATAAGAGGAACAGGGTTACATTTTTCGAGTTCTTTGGCACATGTTGTTACACTGAAGATTATCTTGCCTGCAGTGAAAGAATTCAGAATATTCTGCTTTTTACAAAACCAGAAAATAACAACCTAGCTGTTTTGTTAGGAGCTTTTGTCATTATTGTCATTATAGCGAGAGATTTTGAAATTAGAGCGTCCTTAGGGATTAGGTAGTCTAGTCTCTATCCAATTTCGGAACTTTCTAGAATTCATCTACTTGTTAAAATTGTGTCTCGAGAGTTATTACAGTAACATATACCTAGACCACTAAAGGAGTATTTTTATCCAGTGTAAACAAGGAAGTTTCTTTAGGTTTTGTGTTACACTCTTTATAAGACACTAAGAGATGACTGACGTAGTGGAAAGCTAATCATTACATTTTGTTTCTCCCTTGTCATTTATTAGCTTGTTATTGGTCTGTACTTTTATGTTATCACTAGTGACTGAGGCTGTTAAAATGCATGTGATCATATTATCAATGTCATTGATCCTTGACGTGTTCTTAGGTTTTTCTAACATAACTGACCTAACACTGCTGAGAGGAAGTACTATTACTACTCCTTCAAGAGAAGAACCATATAAAACATTGATGTGTAAAAAATTAAATCATATCTGACGGTCTTTTGTTGGGGGGTGGCTGACCTTTTTTTTTTTTCCCCCCCAGGGAACAACTATGTAATTCACCGTAACAGCAGTGAAGTTGAGATCAGTCGTGTGGCCAACCGGGTTCTAGACGAGCTGGTACGACCGTTTCAAGAAATTCAGATAGATGACAACGAATACGCTTGTTTGAAGGCAATCGTATTTTTTGATCCAGGTTTGTTTTCAGAATTCCATTAAAAAATAATGATAATGAAAACTAAACGATTACTTCATATTAGACTGTTTACTCTCACACTCTAGTAAGATTCAATCTTTAGATTGCTCTTTTCTTCCTTTATTAGACGCAAAAGGGCTGAGTGATCCGGTAAAGATTAAGAACATGCGGTTCCAAGTGCAGCTCAGTTTGGAGGACTACATCAATGACCGGCAGTACGACTCCCGGGGGAGGTTTGGCGAGTTGCTTCTGCTCCTGCCCACACTGCAAAGCATCACTTGGCAAATGATTGAGCAAATACAGTTCGTGAAGCTTTTTGGGATGGTTAAAATCGACAACCTACTTCAAGAAATGTTACTGGGTGGTGAGTACATTTAAGAATTTCCATTTTATATCTGGGCATCCCACTCTGTACAAGGTTGACCTACTGATTTTTTGCCTGTGACATATGGAACTCAGGTTTTTACATTTAAGAAAGTCTGCAGAACCCACTGGATGGAGACAAAAATACTTGAACGTATTGAAATCCTCATTCTTACTAGTGTCCACCATCTTTATGCTATACAGTTCCTCTTGCCTTAGATTTTATTCTTTCAAATATGGTAAATAGAAATATAGTTCCTATTTTTAGTACTCCTTGGGGTGAATTGTATATTTTTAAGCCTTGACTCCTTTGAAAGCTCTAGGATACCAGCATTGCAACATAACCTAAAAATATTCATAGTAAAAACCTGAAAAATAAACACTTTGCTCCTGAAATAATTAATTGACATAACAAAACAAAAAGGGGAAAATGAGATTTCATTGAGGCAATAAATGTCAGGAATGAGTTAAGAAATCATTTATTTTGTGCTCTGATCTAGATTAAATTTCCTTGTAAAATCACTTTATTTTATTTTATTTTAGTTTTAGTTTTCTGGTACTTAATGTGTTCCTAATGACATCTTTCTGAAATAAAAGTTGTTTATGCTATTAGTGTGATCCCAAATACTATAAACTTGAGGTAAGTGATTCTTGGAATTGCCTTAACAACAGGCAGCAAACCTAATGATTCCAGGAAACGGCACACAAGGTCCATTATTAATATACAACATAATATGATACAACATTAATCTAACCAATGCACAGTGAAAGCTGACATTGTCCTTAATATGGCAGCAGTTCTATTAATTTCTTTTTGAAATCCCAAAAAGCACTTTGCCAAAATAGCAATATTCAAGCTGTCAATCAGAACATTTGTTGCAAGGTAAACTTGCTGGTGTCCCTGATTAAATTTCACTGATGCAAGCATCTTTTTATCTTCTGTAGGTGCTTCCAATGACGCTAGTCATCTCCATCATCCCATGCATCCACATTTGTCTCAAGATCCATTAACTGGACAAACTATACTTTTAGGTCCCATGTCAACGCTGGTTCATACGGACCAGATCTGTAAGTATCTGGGCCACTTTTCAACCGTGATACTTTTTTTTTATTATTATTTTTTTATTTTTTTATAAACATATAGGGTATTTTAATCCCCAGGGGTACAGGTCTGTGAATCGCCAGGTTTACACACTTCACAGCACTCACCATAGCACATACCCTCCCCAATGTCCATAACCCCACCCCCCTCTCCCTACCACCCCGCCCCCCACCGGCAACCCTCAGTTGGTTTTCAACCGTGATACTTTTTAAACTTAATTGTCTGAGGAAAAGTGGGATTTGGGGAAAGAATCTGTCAGTATCCAGAAATTGCAAAAAATTAGGTACCATTTCCTCTCTAGGACTCAACTGTGGGAGATTCTGACGTTCAGCAATTCACTTATTCTCTTTAGGCCTGACCTTGCTCCCTAAAATAGGATGTGAGCACGTAAATGCTTCCAAAGTACACCAGGATGTAAGGGCAGTCCTGGTATCGCCTGGTCATGCAGGACTGTAAGAAGTACTGTGCAAGCTGGACCCATGCAAAGAAATCTTAATAATCAATAGGAAAATTATAGTTTGCTTGTGACCTTTAAAAATGTTTGCCAAAACTTTAACTCTCTTAACTACAGGTTACAAATGTCGTGAGAAATTAAAAAATAATAATCCTGAGATTTATTTAGTTCATTGTAATATAAACATTAGATTCATCAGCACGTTTTATTTCATTGTTAAAAAATTTATGAAGTGTAGGGGCGCCTGGGTGGCTCAGTCGGTTAAGTGTCTGCTTTTGGCTCAGGTTTTGATCCCAGAATCCTGCTCAGTGGGGAGTTTGCTTCTCCTCCCTCTGCTCCTCCCCATCACTTGTGTGTGCTCTCCCTCTTTAAAATAAATAAAGTCTTTAAAAAAATTATGAAGTGTAGCTCAAACAGTGCTTGCCACCTTCTCCTCCTCTAACTTGTAAGTGGAAGTGAGCATCTTTTTTATGCCTTGATGAATTTTACTGTTTTGGAAGTTTGGATTGGCTTCCAACATTTTCCTTTGCACTTTCCATCTCTGAAGTGTCTCTGAGAATCCATTTAATGTGAAGTTTTGTTGTTTTGTTTTGTTTTAACAGGTTTCACTTCCTCAGGGACATCTTCATCCTTTTCAGCACAATCAGTTTCTTCACTAATGTCCATCAGTTCTCCTTCACTAAGCTCTAGAATGCAGGTTTAGAGACTCAAACAGCAACAACGTCTGCATTCCCAGGGGCAGCTAATTCTTGTCTGACTCCATCCATGCTCCATTCACTTCTAGCATAATCACTTTTTGTTTCTTTTTCTTTTTTTCTTTTGCCAATTTTACTTTACCCAGTTTTTGCTAAGTGTCATGAGAATATGGGAATTTATCACTAGGAGACAAGGAGGCAACGCAGCTACACAATTAAAGTTGTCAGTATACGAACTGAATAAAATGTATTCAGTGACCAGTCACAGACAAACTTAAAGATGTGATGGGATTGGTCACTGATCATAATGCACATCTGTTACTGAGCTAAGTAACGTAGACCAGAGAGAGTTAACGGGTGAAGTTTCTATGTATCAAGTTACTCACAGTTAGTTGTGAGTTACCGAGCTCGCTGAAATTTGAACCATGTTTTTATAGGACTGGTGCTGTTTACCCAAGCTGTGATAACTGAAATTTGTGCATGTCAGATTTGTGCAGAGTGAGGCCTCTGGGAAAGCTCTTTGGAACTAAAATGATTGTATGAATAGTAGGGGTTAGTAGCTGATAGTGTTGCAGATTTAACACAAATTCTAATTTTTAAGCTACCTCAGAGATAAAAACCTCTATTTGACAAACTTTCTAGAATTGTGTCTGAATTTATACTAAGTAATCCCAGATTTGCCTTGGATGTATCTCTCTCTCTCTCTCTTTTTTTTAAAGACTTTATCTATTTATTAGAGAGAGAAAAAGAGAGCACAAACATAGGGGAGGGGTAGAGGAAGAGGGACAAGGAGACTCTCTGCTGAGCCAGGACCCCGATGTAGGGATCCATCTCCATCCCAGGACCCTAGGATCATGACCTGAGCTGAAGGCAGACACTTAATTAACTGAGCCACCCAGGTGTCCGGATGTATCTCCTCTTAACACGAAACCAGCTAACTCACTGAGATTCCATGAGTTATTGTCATGTAATTATGATGCATACTGGTATTACCTACTGACTTTACAACAACCTTTAATAACTAGTTACAATGTGGTTTCATGGAAATGTTCAATGAAATGTAACAATTCAGTGTATATGATCTCACTGCTACCTAGTGATATGAAAAGTAGAGGCCACAGAAATACTTATTACCACTGCTATCCCTTAGATACAAGTACTGGGAAACCTATGTGTAAATTGTGTCTGAAACACAAAGTTCTTTGAATGTATGATAGAGGCAGAAGTAAAATTGTTAAAAAAAATATATATATATATACATACATATATATATATGTATGTATGTATATATATATATATATATATATATATATATATATATATACACACACACATACACAACTTACAGAAATAGTATAACCTGTGGCTATAAATGTACTTGAAAGACATTAATTTGGGACCATTCCTTGCAAAGCATATGTTACCGTTTTCAATTCATAGTCAAGAGCAGAGAGGGAAACCCATTACCATCTCTCTTAGAGATGAGTTATTCATAAACTCAGAAAATAAAACACATTAACAGCATATTAAACGTTGTAGGCATCACCTGGCAAGAAAGTTTAACAATTCTGCTGGTGGTTGAATCTTTTACTTTTTAAATGCTAGTTTTCTAGTATTTTTGAAAGCATATTTACTGACTCTAATCTTTTTAAAATCACATCCTAGTTTTCATCTTTATTTTCCCTCTTTCAGCATAATGTTTATAAGAATCATTTGTTTCGTACAAAGCAAAACATCAAACACACACACACAAATTTAAGCTCATGTGTATTTTTCTGGCCTTTTAGAGCAGACCATTGTAGTCTTAGATTCATCCCAAATATCCAGAAATAATTTTTTAAACAAATATGGTTATCCTTTTGTCAATTAAGCTATACCTAAAAATGTGGGTTCTAAATAATTTCTAAGCCATATTTAATAATATAAAGTCAATACATTAAAGAAAATGAGGCAAAAGGGAACTTTGCTTATTTTTGTATAGAATATTTAAAAGCTATTTTGGGGAAAAAAATCTATAAAGTTTGCAGTGCCTCAGTATGATCATCAAACATTTTCTACTTGTTCTGTTAAATATGTGGAATGGTAATAAATGTAAATGTTAAAATATTTCAGGTCTTTAAAAATTAAAGGCCTAGACTAGTTCCTAGATTATTTTATAATATAGTAAAAGTTTGCAATGAGAGGATATACTATTCTACTCAATGAAGTATTCAAGCTGTAACTTTATTTTTCAATTACTTGGGCTGGTTCTTTGCATCAGTGGAGAAGGGATAGATGAGCTCAGTGGTAACAGAATAATTTTGAAGCAAAAAAGTTGGTATTTTTCAGATGCTTTTACCTGTGATATAGGTTTCAAAGCACTTGAAAAGTATCTTAACTTTTAATGTCATCTAATATTTTGAGTTAGTGGAATCCAAACCAAATATATTTTATTTTATGTGCATTTTTTATTGCAAAAACTGTGACGTTTTCTAAGATTTGAAAAAAAAAATAGCCTTTTGTTAATTGTTTTTGTTGACTTTTTTCCCTGCTGTGTCTGTAAGAGAATGAAATGCTCATAAATGCTGTTAAAGGCAGGAAGTGACTTTTAAGGGACTATTAAGAGACTATTAAAATGTTCAGGGGCACCTGAGTGGCTCAGTGGGTTAAGCCTCTGCCTTCGGCTCAGGTCATGATCTCAGGGTCCTGGGATCGAGTCCTGCATCGGGCTCTCTGCTCAGTGGGGAGCCTGCTTCCTTCTCCTCTCTGTCTCTCTGACTGCCTCTCTGCCTACTTGTGGTCTCTCTCTGTCAAATGAAAATAAATAAAATCTTTAAAAAAAATAGAATAAAATGTTCAAGTATGGGGCTCTTGAGTGGCTCAGTCGCTTAAGTGTCTGTCTTCAGCTCAGGTCATGATCCCAGGGTCCTGGGATTCAGCCCCATGTCAGGCTCACTTCTCAGCAGGGAGCCTGCTTCTCCTTCTCTTCCTCACTCCTGCTCCCTCTCTAGCGATCTCTGTCTCTCTCTTAAATATATAAATTTAAAAATCTTGGGGAAAAAAAAAAAAGATGTGCAAGCATGCTCTATTCCATTTGAATGCTACCTGAGAGTTCAGAAGGCAGTGCAACTTCAGTAGGTCTTCAAGGAGCTCATAATGTATTAGATAATCCTACTTTATCTATTATCTTTTAAAAAATATCTCCAAAAAATAAAAGTAAAAATATCTCCAAAATAAAATAATGCATATTTGTGTCACGCAGTACTTCCTGGGTCACCCTCACATCAAATTCTCTGCTTCTCTTTTAGCAACTCCTGAGACCCCGCTCCCTTCCCCACCACAGGGCTCTGGACAAGAACAGTACAAAATAGCCGTCAACCAAGCTTCGGTGATTTCACACCAGCCTCTCTCCAAACAAAAGCAATTGTGAGAGTGTGTTTACTCCTGAATGGCACTGCGTAAATGTGAAAACTTGTTGGTCTTGACATAACTCAGGATAGTACTTTTGGCAAACTATGAGCCAAGGCTTCTTTATGGTGCTGTTGTAAGATGGGATCCTAGTTTTTTTTGTTTATAGGCTCCTTTTGTTTGTTGTCCCTGTTGTTTAAAACTTTCCGGTGCAAGCAGTGTATATCTGAATTTCCACATGTCTGTATAGTGTATTTTTCCAACTTCCCTTGCACTGTCCCTGAACTAGTTGAATCTTATGTACTGCTTTCATTTGTTGTCTTGATATTAATTTAAATCTGTAAATAATTGCTTCATTGTGATGTGATGCAGAACTAAGTGGTCTTTTTTGACCAGAGCAGTAGATCAGCAACTCCAGATTAATGTACAATGAACCAAGGTTTTTTGTTGTTGTTGTTTTGTTTTTTATCAATTTTAAACTTGCCAATTAGAAAATTAAAGCAGTTGCTATACAACAGGAAATATTTCTTTGAGGAAGGATCGCTGTGGGTATCCTGTGGCTAAAAAGCGTCTTTCTGGCCCACAGTTAAATATGTCCATCTTTAGCTTAGGAAGTCATAAAAAGCCATTCCAAGGATGACTGGCTATTCCTTATAATCTGCCTCTATTTGAAGATGTATCTTGAGATAAAACATGTTTGTTTTACCAGCTAGGATACAGGATAAATGGTTTAAGGAAAAAAAAAAAAAGGAAATCCTTAAAACAGTGGCTCAACCAAGAGAGACATTGATTTTCTCTCCTAAAACAATCTAGAAGTAGTCACCATTGACTAGAATTTAGCACATGTTCACATCCAGTTCCCAGCAAGGCTGGGAGAGCAGCCTTTAGGTGGCAAGCCTCGAGCCCACTAAACTGCACCAGTCTGGGAGAGTGCTATTGGGAGACAAACCCCCATCTCCCCATCTGTCACCCGTGTGTTGTCACACCTAAGACTCACAGGTAACAAACATTCATAAACCTGAGGAGTAGGAGAGCCACTAGGTTCACGCCCAGGTCTGCTTGACTTTAATGAGAATAAATCTTTGAGGTGGAATGAAAAATGTGAGCTTCTCACTATGGTCTTTAAATGTATACAATCGAGAGATGACTGAATACTGTCCATCCTATCACCTTAGCACATACTCACATGTAATCCATGAGTGTAAATTTGTTGCAGCATGAATAAGAAACCACTGTTGTAGTTTTAATGTCTTCGCCCCCACCAAAAAGAAAAATTTGAAAACAAATTAAAAAAAATAAAAGATAGAATCCCAGATAGGTTATGATGAAAACTAACACATTCAAATCACTGACTCGGCAGATTTTCAAAAATCCAGTGGACTGAGGAGTATAGTTCATTGGAAACCCTATTTGATTTAAAGCTGAAGCTTATTTAAAACAATTAATGTTGGGCCACCTCAGGAAACAGTGATCTCTCTCTCTCTCACACACATACACACACCATACACATTTATTCAGAAGCAGGGAAATACTGGTTGAGTAATTATCAGTGATATAAAAAATAGTGTCCCAACCTGAATTCAGTGATTTTTACAGAACCTCAAAATTTCTGAAATTTTATAATCCCCACTTAATTCTATAAAGAAAAGGGTTCTGTTAATGTTAACTAACTTATTAACTCAGAGTGGGAAATGATTTATTAGAAGGTATTATTGATTTAAATAAAATCAAAATTCCTTCAATAGCTGGTACTGGAAAACTATAAAATGTACCTTTGAAAATGAATGAGGGAAGAGGAAAGTTTACTTAACTCTTATTTTGTGGAAATTTACTCTAGCGTCTCAGTTTCATGCTTTTCATCTTTAAAAATACAATGTCTTTTGTAGACCTCTGTTTAACTTTTTGTGCTGTTCTCTTAATAGATATTTAAAAAATCTTTAAAATATAAAACATAAAATTCATTTTTAGCAAGCCTTTTAACTTATCTGCATATACTTACTAAACAAACTTTGTTTTAGAAATTATTGCTAACAATTTTGTTTTAATAACTATGGTCAGGGAATTTTTAATATAATATTTTTGTATACTTAACTGCCAAAAATGCTGGGCAAAGAGGAACTGAAGTTTTCAGCATATTTTCAAAATATTGATAATGAAACTTACTGCTTTTATATAGCACAAAACTTTTTTTCAGGTAATAAATATGAATAATTTATTGTGAAATAGTGATTCATTTTATAAATGTAAAATTATTTTTATAAATTTTATTGTTGAAAATCAAAACTTACTAAATTTTGTAAGTGTTAAATTATAGTGAGATTAAAATATTTCTAAACTGTGATATGTTGTTTCACTGAACTTTCTAAATAAAAATTGAGAAAAAAAAAACTGAAGTAGGGTTGCTTCATTACTGTTTAAAATGATTTTGTAATTTTAGAGATACTGATAGTCTCTTTTATTTGGACATTTAATTAAATTCATAAGGAGTTCACCTATACTGGTTTTTCAAAGCTGGAGCAAAATTAATTAGCAATTTCTAAATAATTGTAGAATTGGATGCTGATAGAAGGGAGAATATTCATATCTGGACTTTACTATGTGGTTTTTCTTGACAGTTTTGTGACAGTAATTAAAATGAATGAGTGAGCCTGGCTTACATATACTCCGGCAATACCTTTTAACCTAGATGTTTTAACTGCCATTGTCCTCGTTCATATTTAAAGCTTCTTTGTAAAATTTCTTAAAATGTGAAGACCAGTATATTTTGATTTTATGAAATTCTATTCTTTTATGAAAATTCTACTCTTTCGTGAAATTTCTACTTTTATCAGGGTAATATGCCTACATCACTTAAAAACATAAATTATACTTAAGGTTTATTGTGAAAACCTGAAGTACTCCCATTTGACCACTGCCCTCTTCCCCACATTCTCTCTTTCAGTAAAAACACTCAAATATTGTAGCTATTTTATCTGGTATTTTTCTCCATAGTTTGAAAGCATTGGTTTATATCACATTTTTTCAGTTTTAGACCTTCTCTCTCTGCAAACATTTGACTCCTGCCACATTCTCCTAACTTTTTATAAATCTTTTTTTTTACTTATTTACTAGTTATTACTTAAATAAATGCCTACCTTGTTTTAAAATATGAAACATATAATTTTTATATTTTTGTGGATAATATAAGAAATATACTCTAATTTTATAGAGAAATTCAGAAGAAAAAGAAGAGTCTTGCTTTCAGTCACAGGAGGATTGCAACTTAGAATAAAGGAAAAACGTTGCATGTATTAATAATAAGTTTTATTGGACTCTATACTCGAGTGCAAATTGACATCTTTTTTAACTCGGGCATTTGAGCAAATCTTTTTAATTTACGTTCCTTCCTTCCCTTCAAGATGTTGCTGAACTGCCCAGAGAAAGACTTTAAGATTAAGAAAAAATCTATACATGTCCTGAAATTTTCAGTTCTTTTTCTGCAAAATATGAGGCAGATGCCATCAGAGTAAAAGAAAGGCAGACTTGTCCGTGATTAACCACGAGCATAATGATACGTCTATGAAAGTGATATGAAATTCCACAAATAGACTCCTCCAAAACTTCAAAGTTGTAACAGGGGAGCCCAAGACCAAGAGAAGAGCACGTTGACAGTCAATGAAAGTCAAATCAAAGGACTTAAGGACCTACAGTAGTGACCCACTGCTGGGGGCTCATAGTGTGATTCACCTGATTTACCTTGAGGCAGATAGATTCATATTGAAAGAGGATCTGGGCCACAGCAATTTCCAAATTGGGAGAGTTGCATTCAGTTACAGAAGAGATAGAGAGATCCTAACTTCAGAGTACTATAATAATTATAAGAAAGAAGGGACTCAGCTCAATAGTGAACTTCCCCCTACAACGTACCCTTCCCACCATCCCCTCCCCAACACTCCAGGTTCTTTCTTACAGGCACAGGTAATTGCGGTTGTGAATACATAGGCATATCTAAGTAGAAGGCAACAGCTTGGGTGGGGAGGATGCAACTGGATAGGAGAGACAAAGGGAATTCTATTTACCTACCCAGACGTGGAAACTGAAAATAAACAATTACTGAAGAAGTCAGTGAACTTTCCTGCCATGACCATGGTAGCCAAGCACTCCATTTCTTATATCCAGTTTGGTCCCTTATTTAGAGAAATAGTTACTTAGAAAAATAAAGGTTTGTCCATTAAAACAGAAAAGTACTAGAAGGTTCAAAGGAGGTACAGGGACAGGTAAGAGGAAAGAAGGCACTGTATAGTAGCTCTAATTTTATACAAGTTGCAAATACCGGTACAAATATATATATGCGTGAGTATTCTTGATACTTCAGAAAATAAATATAATTAAAAATTTACAGATAACCATTAACAAAACTAAAATAAGATTCATAAAATATACCATTGTAAAAAAAAAGAAAAAGAAAAGTTGAATAGCCTGGTGAAAAGTAGTTTTTAAAAAAATAACAAGGAAACGGACAACTAAAAATAATATGGGAGATATATGCCAACACTTAGATACCTCATTAAGTTTCACAGTTTAAAAGAATTACCTAGTGCAATATAATTATTTTTAGATTAGATTAAAAGTTCATCTATGTCTTTATTACATAATTCTTTCATAATTCTTTAGTACATAATTTACAAAGTGATCTTGTAAGCAACATTTATGGATTATCCTATATATATATATTAAATCCCTACACTTTGCCACAAATTTGTGGCCACTGGAGCTCTTAAGTTCCTAGAGGAATTTTGAGGAGGGAAAACATTAAGCTAAAGTCATACAAATAATTATAGAGAACCAATCATTACTTTGTAGTCCAACTGGATGTTCTGAGAGTTTCCCAGATGAGTTTACTTACAGATCAGGAAAGAGCTCTCAGAAAAAACTAGAAGAAGACTATAGGTAAAGTCCAGTGAACAAGAACATTAGCGTCAAAACCTGAGAGTGTGAAGGGGGACAGAGGGCAGGTGACAGAGTTCCTAATGAACCATGCTAAGTATGTTAGATTTTAGTATATCTACGTGATTCTCCAACTGGTTTTAGTAGGGCAGAACATGATCCAAATTGATTTTTTGAAATAGATCCCTCTGCTAAATGGAAAGTGAGTCAAGTTGGAGAAGAAACATTTTCATTGGAAGGAAGTAAAAAGAGATACCTGTATTCTGGATGAATGTGAGAGTACCAAATTTGGTACCAAATAAAATGCTACCAAATATATACCAATATATATGATTATGTTTTGGAAGCAGACACAGTAAGACTTTTTCCAGACTTAGTGTTGGGTATGTACAATGGTACAGCTACTTTGAAAAGAGTTTTCATATTCTTACCTGGGTTAAACATGCGGTTGCCATATTTTAGCCTGAAATACCAGTCTTTGGTATTACCCAAAAGAAATGAAAATAAATGTCAGATAAAGACTTGTGCAAAGTTTTTTATTCAGTAGAGCTGAAAACCAGAAGCAAACTAAATGTCAAAAAACTGTCAGTGGGGAAATAAATTGTGGTATATTCATACTGAGATTAAATCAATACAGAAATAAAAAAGTGAATTACTGATACTTGTTACAAAACGGACAAATCTCATAAACATGATGGGCAAATGAAACTGGACAAAAGTATATACCATCAAAAAAAATAGCAAACTAGTCTATAGCAAGAGAAAGCAAATCAACTATTGCTTGAGTTTGAACCTGATTTCAAAGAGGCAGGAGGACACTGGGGATTTGGGGGAGGAGGATTTGCAGCTTGATTTTGGTGGTGGCCATATCTGTCAAAATTTGCCAAGCTTTACATTTCAATGTGTGTATTTTACTGTATATAAATGATATCACAATAAAGTTCACAAAAGTGAAATGCACTATATTATTTAAAAATTACAAAAAGAACAAGAAATAAACATAATTAGTGCTATAGAAAATAATA